ATCTGTCAGTTTGTCATACTGCGGTTACTTGCATGTTGCTGTGATTCTGAAAGGTATGCCACCGATATTTTAAATAGCAGCAAGGCCACCCATGATGGACAAGTTTCAACTGAGCTTCCAGACAAAGACAGAGTAGGAAGAAGTAGAGATGGACAACTTCTGAATATTTTGCCATTGGAAACCTTAGGAATAGCAGTGGAACACTGCCAGCACCAGGATATTGAATATTGAAGCCTGATGAAAAGCATCAGAATATTGTCAGCTATAATGATGGAAGATGAATCCCTCAAGTTGGAAGGCTCTCAAAATACAACTGAGGCAGTGCTGTCTCCTCAAAGTAGAGTTGACAATTAAGATGGAAATACAGTGAAGCCTTTGTGACTTTTCATGTGCTGATGGGACCCAACTCAAGATGAAGAGATACAGCTGTAAACATCAATAATCAGAATATGGAACGTACGACGTGTGAATCTAGGAAAATGGCAAATTGTCAACAATGAAATGGAATGCATGAACGTTGTATCATAGGCATAGTGAGCTAAAATGAGACTAATATTGGCCATTTTGAGTCTGACAGTCACATGGTTTACTATGCTGGGAATGACAAATTGAAGAGGAATGGTGTTGCATTCATCGTCAAAAAGAACATATACAGATGTGTTCTGAAGTGCAACACTATATGTGATAGGATAATATCCATATGACTATTATTCAAATTACACACCAACCACTAAAGCCGGTGATGATGAAATTGAAGTATTCTGCCAATCTCAGTTTGAAATTGATTAAACATGCAATTGAGATATAGTGATAATTATTGGTGATTGGAATGCACAGGTTGGAAACAATCAGTAGTTGGAAAATATGGCCTTGGTGATAGAAACGATGCTGGAAATTGCGTGATAGAATTCTGTAACACCAATGACTTGTTCATTACAAATACCTTTTTTAACTAACAGAAATGACAACTATACACATGGACCTCACAAGTTGGAATACCCAGGAATCAAATTGACTACATCTGTGGAAGGAGATGGGGAAAAAGCTCCATATCATCATGTAAAACAAGGGCCATGGGTAGACTGTGGAACAGACTGCTCATATGCAAATTCAGGCTGAAGCTGAAGAAAATTAAAACAAGTCCAAAAGAGCCAAAATATGACCTTGAACACATCCCACCTAAATTTAGATATCATCTGAAGAGTAGATTTGATGCACCAGACACTAAAGACGGAAGACCATAAGAGTTGTGGGATGACATTAAGAAGAAAGCAAAGGTCATTAAGAAGTTAAGAAAGGAGGAAAACACCAAAGTGGATGTCAGAAGAGACTGAAACTTGCTCTCCAGCATAGAGATGCTAAAGCATGGACCATATTGTGCGCCTCCATCATCTGTTGATGGACTCTTGGGATGTTCTACCACTCATCTGTAAAATTGTCATACTGTGGTTGGTTGTGCGTTGCTGTGATGAAGGAAGTTTTACCACTGGTATTTTAAATACCATGGTGGACAGAAACTTCCAGAGAAGGACAGACTTGGAAGAAGGAGAGGCAGACTACTTTTGAATGTTTAGTCACTGAAAACCTTCTGAATCGCAGTGGAACATTGTCGGGTATACAGCCAGAAGATGAAAACCTTCTGAATCGCAGTGGAACATTGTCAGATACAGTGCTGGAAGATGAGTCTTCAGATTGAATGGTTCTCAAAATGCCCCTCAGGAAGAAATTTGTCAGGTAGAGTTGACCGTGATAACGCTAATGGAGTAGAGCTTTTGGGATGTTGATTTGCTGATGGAGCATAACTCAAAATGAACAAAAACAGCTGTAAACATCCATTAAGAAGAAGAACACGGACTGTATTAACTATGAATCTTAAGAAAATTGGAAGTTGTTAAAATGAGATGAAACACATCAAGATCGATATCCTAGATGTTGTTGTTGTTGTTAGATGCCATTGAGTCAGTGCTGACTCATAGCGACCCTATGTACAACAGAATGAAACACTGCCCAGTCCTGGGCCAACTTCACAATTGTTGTCATGCTTGAGCCCATTGATTCTGACACTTTGCCAATCCATCTCACTGGCGGTCTTCCTCTTTTTCTCTGACCCTCCACCTTACCAAACATGATCTCCTTCTCCAGCAACTGGTCCCTCCTGACAGTATGTCTGAAGTATGAGAGACAAAGTTTGGCTATCCTGGACTCCAAGGAGAACTCTGGCTGCACTTCTTCAAACACATCTCTGTTGGTTCTTTTGGTAGCCCATAGCACTTTCAGTATTCTCCTCCAACACCATGTTGTTGTTAAGTACCGTGAAGTCGATTCTGACTCATAGTGACTGCACAGGGTTTCCAAGGATGTAAATCTTTATGGGAGCAGAAAGCCTCATCTTTCTCCTATGGAATGGCTGGTAGTTTCGAACTGCCGACCTTGAGGTTAGCAGCCCGATTCATAACTACTATGCTACCAGAGCTCCTTTCCAGCACCATGTTGTTGTTGTTGTCAGGTGCCATCGAGTCGGAACCAACTCATAGCGACCCCATGCACAGCAGAACGAAACAATGTTCGATCCTGGGCCAACCTCACTACCGCTGCCACACTTGAGTCCATCAATGATGCCACCTGGCCAATCCATCTCGTTGGGGGTCTTCCTCTTTTTCTCTGACCCTCCACCCTACTCAGTATGACATCCTTCTCCAACGACTGTTTCCTCCAGACAATATGTCCAAAGTAGGAGAGACGAAGCTTAGCCATCCTGGCCTCCAAGGAGCACTCTGGCTGCACTTCTTCCAAAACAGATCTATTGGTTCTTTTGGCAGTCCATGGCACTTTCAGTATTCTCCTCCAACACCACAACTCAAAGGCATCAATTTCTCTACGATCCTCCTTATTCACTGTCCAGCTTTCGCATCCATATGAGGCTATTGAAAACACAATGGCCTGGGTCAGGCGCACTCTAGTCCTCAAGCTGACATCTCTGCTCTTCAACACTTTAAAAAGTTCCTGTGCAGCAGATTTGCCCAGTGCAATACGTCATCTGATCTCTTGACTGCTACTTCCGTGAGTATTGATAGTTGATCCAAGAAGAATGAAGTCCTTGACAACTTCAATCTTTTCTCCATTGATAAGAATGTTGTTTATTGGTCCAGTGGTCAGGATTTTTGTTTTCTTGACATTGAGATGTAATCCATATCGAAGGATTAGTAGTTGTAAAATACGGTATTGTGGATAGAAATGATACTGGAAATCACATGGTAGAATTTTGCAAGACAATAGCTTCTTTGCAAATACCTGTTTTAAACAACATATAAAGTCCAAGACAGTCAACGTATGATCTTGAACAAATCCCAACTGAATTGATAGATCCTCTCAAGAACAGAACTGATGCATTGGACACTAATGATGGAAGACCAGAAGAGTTGTGGCATGACAGCAAGATACTCATACAAGAAAGCAAAAGGTCATTAAAAAAAACAAGAAAGAAAGAAAAGACCAAAATGGATGTCAGAAGCGATTCTGAAATTTGCTCTCCAGCATAGAGATGCTAAAGCAAATGACAGAAATGAGATAAAACAGCTGAAAGGAAAATTTAAAGGGCAGCTCAAGAAGATGAAATCTTATAAGGAAATGTGCAAAGACCTGGGGTTAGAAAACCAAAAGGGAAGAACATGCTCAGCATTTCTCAAGATGAAAGAACTGAAGGAAAAACTCACACCTTGACTTGCAATATTAAAGGATTCTGACTCTTGGTGTGACTCTGTAGGAGAAAGTTCTGGATTCTAAGATTGGTTTTAACTGAACGGTCAGAGGTTCAAACTCACCAGCTGCTGCTCAGAAACTCAAAACGGCTGCTGTGAGTCAGAACTGACTTGATGGCCAGTAGCAATAAGATGGTAACAATGGATAATGAGTGCCACAGAAAGCATCAGAAGAAGATGGAAGGCATACACAGTCTCATGGTACAAAACAGAAATGGTTGGTGTCCAGCCATTCCGAGAGGTAGTGTGTGAACAAGAAACACTGAGGAGTCCCAGCTTCATTGAAGGCATTGGCAAAAAAACAACAACAGGGCTGCAGGAATTTCTGGAGTACAAATTGAAATCTTTAAACCAACTGATGCAGCACTGGAGGTGCTTACTCATCCATGCCAAGAAATTTGGAACCGATTTGAAGAGATCCACCCTAACCCTGGTGTGGTGCTGTGGGCTAATGTGTCAGATTACAGAGTCGTTTTGATCTTTGGCATTCGAATGGGTGTAAGGTGGTGTATCATTGTGTTTCTGACTTGCACCTGCCTTGAGGCCGGTGAAAGGAGGCATGGTGGCACAGTGTTTAAGCGCTTGGCTGCTTGTTCCCAGAAGACTCCAGCCTAGAAAGCGATGACAGTTCCGCTTTGTCCTGTGGGCTCGCTACGCCTTGGACTCAGCTTGATGGCTATGGTGAAATGAGTTCCTTTTTGTGGCCTTTGGCTATGGGTCTGTGGGAAAACGCCTGAGAGGTTGGCCCTCGAGGTCCTGAGGAGGTCTCTCTGTCCTTGTTTTCTGCCCCAGAGAGATGGTTACTCCAGGTGACGGCCACTCCTGGCAGGCTGTAAACAGCGCGACTTCTCCTCTGCCGTAGGCTGCAGCCACCGTGGGACTGCTGTGTACCTTGCCAGGAATGGTCCCTAACGAGTGAAATATCTGTTGCCTCCCCACAGGGGAGGTCCACCTCTTCTCTAGAGCGCCGGGTGTCACCTAGCTGTCCCTGCAGTAGCCGCTTCTACCCTCTTGGAAGGATCTTTCAAGGTCAGGCCTTTACTGTTGAGTTTACCCTTCTGCACAGAATGTGTGTAGCTTTTACCCCCTGTATAATTGGTGTCCTCACAGTGGCCAGCCCCCTGGTCAGGTGCCCACTTCTGTGCACACCTAGTTGGTCTGTCAGTGGCTTCCAGTGGCCCGGTGTCAGTTGGTCTACACGTTTGGGAGCTCTAGTCTAATTCTGCGGGTTATTCTCTACAGGCGTTGATGACGGGGAGTCTCCCGGGCTTTGTCGATGTCATCAGGAACCTCAATTCTCCAGAGCTGCTTGAAGACAATGTGATAAGACAGGCAAAAGTCGCCGGGAAAAGAATGATCTTTTATGGAGATGAAACGTGGCTTAAATTATTCCCAAGGCATTTTATGGAATATGATGGGACGACCTCGTTTTTTGTGTCTGATTACACAGAGGTGAGTTTTTATGGGTTGCACCAGCTAGAGTCCACATGCCTGTTACTGAGTGGGAGGCTGTGACCCATGTATGTGGCTTTCTTCATATGCCCTGGGAGCAAAGGACCCTCATTCACTCCACCAGTAGAGGGTGGGCCACTTTCTGTGGAACCCAGCAGAGAAGAGCGACCTGCCTCGTCCAGGGTCACAGAGGATCAGAAAGGGCCACACAGTGGCCATGCTGTTGGAGCCAGGTGCTGACCGCTGAGCAGAGCCTTCCCAGGGGGCCACAGCATGTGGCCCTAAGCACCCTGTAAGACCCCAGGGTATGTTCTGAGAGCAGTTCGGACAGGTGACGGAGAGGTATGATCTGGACACCACACATCTCAGAGCTAAAGTTGGGGTGTCCAGGACAGACACAGTAACTGCAGTTTATGGATGGGAAGTGTGGACATGGTGCCATGTGAACATGTGTGGACATGTTACTCAGTGTGGACAGGAGATGTGGACATAGTTATTCAGTGTGGACATGGAGTCGTGTAAACAGTTACTCAGTGTGGACGGGAGGTGTGGACAGTTACTCAGGGTGTGGACCTGAGATGTGGACGTGGAGCTGTGTGGACACTTTCTCAGTGTGTGGATGGGGGAGGTGTGGACGTAGAGCTGTGTGGACACTTTCTCAGGGTGGGCGGGAGGTGTGGACGTGGAGCTGTGTGGACGCAGTTCCGTCAGTGACTGGTCCTTTGAGGTGAACCAAGTGTCAGGCGTACCCCTTGTGGCAGCGTTTCCTTGTAGGATGTTTGGTTACTTTTGGGTCTAGAGTGCTGGTTTCATAATGTGCTTAGTTCCGAAGTAGCTGTGGTCCTTGTATTTGCTCTCTCCAGGAAGTCAGCCTTCTGGTAGGATGAGCACTGTCCGCTGTCTCGTGTCTGCTCATCTTCCCGATTCCCTCATTCTTGGCTCCTGATCAGTTCTAGGCCTGTGCTTTCCACAGAAATGCCTTTCGTTGGTTCGGAATGGTCCTGCTCAGTTACGTGGTCTGCACCTGTCTACCCCCAGGAGACTTAAGCTGCACAGTAGACAAAGCCCGTGCAATCTTGGAATTCTTGTCTTGTGTGTTTTCAGCCCCTTCAGTCCTGTTACACGACTGAGCCCCTAGGTTTGAATGTCACTGAAATCAAGCGTTTGCGTTTCAGGTGGACAACAATGTCACGAGGCACCTGGACAGCGTGCTGAAGAGAGACGACTGGGACGTGCTGATTCTGCACTACCTGGGTCTGGACCATATTGGTCACCTGTCAGGGCCCAACAGCCCACTGATCGGGCACAAGCTTAGTGAGATGGATGGCGCCCTCATGAAGATCCACATGGGACTACTGTCCAAGGTGCGTCTTGGCGTGATGGCAGAGGCCTGGGTCCCGAGGAGGCAGCTGCTGGGGTGTGCTCAGTCACCCCCAGGGGGCGCCATGTTCATCCCTGTGTACGATTGTGGGCCACACACCAGCTTGTTCTCAGGACTTCATCTTCCCAGCTGGCCTACAGTCATTCAGCAAGTGTTCATCCTGTGTCCCTGCCATCCTTCTCGGCACTTGGTCACTTCAGTGAGACAGACCTCTCTGCCTTTATGTAGTTGAGCTTCTGGCCAGCCTAGAGTGTAAAAAGGTCACAATAAATAGGGTGCCAGAGAGAACAGGAGCCGGGGAGGGCATGGGCAGGTGCTCCCTGTTTGCGTAGTAACGAATCTGGCTGCTGGCCTCAAGGTCAGCAGTTCAAAACTACCAGCTGTTCTACGGGATAAAGGTGAGGCATTCTGCTCCCGTAAAGATGTACAGCCTCGGAAACCCTGTGCAGGATCACTGTGAGTCAGAACCGACTCCACAGCACATCACTACCACCACCACACCCTTGATCTGGTTAGAAGCAAGCACAAGGTAATTCATAGAGGAAAGCCGGACTCTGAGACGATCGTCTCCAGGGGAGGGCGCTCTTTGCCAGCTGAAGGCACTCAGGTATTTTCTCTGACTTGCAGGAGAGGGGGTCTCTTCTGCCCAACTTGCTCGTCCTCTGTGGGGATCATGGCATGTCGGAGACGGGCAGCCACGGTGCCTCTTCCACGGAGGAAGTCAGCACGCCTCTGGTGCTGGTCAGCTCCGTGTTCGAGAGGAAGCCTGGTGAGCAAGAGGGGTGGGGAGCACATGAGCCCCTCTTTATCTTTCTGTCTCATGCTGTCCGATTTATATATCCAAAAGCCTTGTTTTGGAAGCTGCACAAATTGGAAGTGTCCTAAGCCAAGGGAGGATAAAACTAGGGAGATAAGTGAGGGCCGGTTAGGGCTCGAACTTGAGTCCTCCCAGATTCTCAGGCAGACTGTCTGCTGCCTGTGGCTCTGTCAGCTTGGCTTCACGTGTTTTAACTCGCTCTTGTTTGTTGTTGTTAGGTGCCATCGGTCGGTACCAACTCCCAACGACACTATGCACAACAGAAGGAAACACTACCTGGTCCTGGGCCATCCTCACTGCTGTTGCCACACTTGAGTCCATTGATGCTGCCACTTGGCCAATCCATCTCACTGGGGGTCTTCCTCTTTTTCTCTGACCCTCCACCTTACCAAACATGATATCCTTCTCCAGTTACTGGTCCCTCCTGACAGCATGTCAGAATTATGAGAGATGAAGTCTGCCCATCCTGGCCTCCAAGGAGCACTCTGGCTGCACTTCTTCCAACACAGATCTATTGGTTCTTTTGGCAGTCCATGGTACTTTCAATATTCTCCTCCAACACCATAGCTCAAAAGTATCAATTCTTCTGCGGTCTTCCTTATTTACTGTCCAAATTTCACATGCATATGAGGTTATTGAAAATACCATGGCTTGGGTCAGGTGCACCTTAGTCCTCAAGCTGACATCTTTGCTCATCAACACTTTAAAAAGGTCTTGTGCAGCAGATTTGCCTAATGCATTACATCGCCTGCTCTCTTGACTGCTGCTTCCGCGAGTGTTGATAGTTGATCCAAAAAGAATGAAGTCCTTGACAACTTCAATCTTTTCTCCGTTGATAAGAATGTTGTTTATTGGTCCAGTGGTGAGGATTTTTGTTTTCTTGGCATTGAGATGTAATCCATATCGAAGGCTGTGCTCTTTGATCTTCATCAGTAAATGTTTCAAGTCCTCTTCACTTTCAGCAAGCAAGGTTGTATCATCTGCATATCGCAGGTTGTTAATGAGTCTTCCTCCAATCCTGATGCCACGTTTTTCTTCATAGAACCCAGCTTCTCGTATTATTTGCTCAGCATACAGGTTGAATAAGTATGGTGAAAGAATACAATCCTTTGGCACACCTTTCTTAATTTTAAACCATTCAGTGTTCCCATGTTCTGTTCAAACAACTGCCTCCTATTCCATGTACAGATTCCTCATGAGCACAATTGACTGTTTCAGAATATTCATACTTTGCAGTGTTGTCCATAGTTTGTCGTGATCCACACAATCGAAAGCCTTCACATAGTTAGTGAAGCACATGTAAACATCTTTCTGGTATTCTCTGCTTTCAGCCAAGATCCATGTCACATCCATGTCACAATGAGATCCCTTGTTCCATCTCCACATCTGAACCTGGCCTGAACCTCTTGCAGCTCACTGTCATTGTTCTGCTGCAGCTGTTTTGAAATTGTCTTTAGCAAAATTTTACTTGCATGTGATAGTAATGATATTGTCCATGATGAGCACAAATATGAATCTCTTCCTATCAGTAGGCCAGGTAGTTGTCTTCCGAATTTTTTGGCATAGATAGATGAGTGAGTGTCTCCAGTGCTGTTTTAGTTTGTTAAAGATTTCAATCTATTTTCCATCAATTCCGGGAGCCTTGTTCTTTGTTTTTATTGTGAATTGAGTGAATGTTTACAGGGCAGATCATCACTTTTACATTCAGCAAATCATACACCTTGTTTCATCACAATGATTATAATCCCCTCCATGGACCATCAGTTAACAGGATTTCTCTCTATTCTCTTTAGCTCTTTAAAAAAAAACAAAAAACCACTCAGGCATATATAATAATTTAACCAACAAAGGGCACATTCTGCAAGCCTGCCTCCTAACTGCCAGCTCTCAGTCCTTCTCTTCCCATGAATCTAGAGTCCTCAGCCGCTCCCTTTCTCCATGCCCCCGTCTCTGCCTCCCTCTCTGGTGTCCCTGCTTCTCTGGATAAGGTCCCACATTCTGCTTGTGCGCTTCTCCCTTGATGGTCCTAGGGTCCTCTGTTTCTGGACTGTAAGATTAACTACTCCCCTGTTTTTGTTATAAAACTTCTACCTTTACAATTGTGACAGTGTAATTAGTCATGGTAAGAATTACGCGTTATTGAATCATAAGAATTTTATTCCCATCACTTTTCACCAGACCTATCTAGACAGGATGAAAACTATTCAGTGGGGACTCTTTCTTCCCCCCAAACGCTATTAAACTAAACTTCCTCTTGAACCTTGTAAGCCAGTGACTTCATGCCTGTATTGCCCCCTCATTTTATGTAGCCAGTGTCTTAAGTTGCCTGTCCCTATTGTGAGAAACGTTGTCTATACTGACAAATGCTCAAGTAATCGAATCTGTACGCATTTTAGCAAGAGTGAGGCTTTCTTCATTTGATTTTGCAATATAGGGCGCCCAGCCCCTTAACACGGGCAGACGGGCAACATGGCCATTTAACAAAGACTTTTATTAACTTAACTTGGAAAAAGCCCCTCCTCCAATTCCCCTTTCCTGAAAGTCCCCTGCTAGCCCCTACAGGGAGCATTCTCATCTACAGTTAGTTTCACCCCCTCCCCATGAACTTCCCCTACTTCTTTGATGGGTGTGTTCTTATATTAAAAGAGTCTAGCAGGTCAAACTAGTCCCTTCCTCTTCTCAGAGTTCCCTTTTGTCATGCCAACTTGCTCCACCCAAGATTTCCCTGATTCTGAAGATGGGCTACCAACACCATTTCTCACACTATCTACCCTGTGTAGAGGGGATAGCATTGATCTTGATGTGAAGACTCCTTCCCTCTCTGTTGGTATTTAGAATTACTA